CCAAAGTTAGAAACTGAAAAGACACAACTGAAGAACTACCGTCCCATCTCCCTTTTAAATGTGGATTACAAAATATTTGCAGATATTTTGGCAAGTAGATTTTAAAAAGTTTTAAATGAAGTAATTCATAAGGACCAGGCCGGTTTTCTCCCAGGTAGACATTTGTTTGCTAACACAAGGAACATTATTGATATTTTGGAACTTCTCCAAACTGACATAAATACAAAAGCTGTTTTAATTTTTATAGATGCGGAGAAGGCCTTTGATAACATTTCTTGGAAATTTATGATGGGAAACTTAAAAGAGATGGGAGTGGGACGGGGTTTTGAGAATGGGATTGAGGCGATATATTCAGAACAGAAAGCAAAACTGATAGTTAATAATGTGGTTACAGAAGAGTTCAAAATTGAAAAAGGGACACGACAAGGTTGCCCTATTTCCCCTTTGTTATTTATCTCGGTCCTGGAGGTGCTATTGAACATGATCAGAGGGACCAGCTGGTGGAAGGAATTCAGGTTGGTCAGAAACAATATAAATTAAAAGCTTTTGCAGATGACCTGGTTTTGACCTTGCAGAAGCCAGAGCCTAGTACGAAAAGAGTATTACAATTGATTAATGACTTTGGTCGGGTGGCGGGATTTAAATTAAACAAACAGAAAACTAAGGTTTTGGGGAAAAATCTGACTGAGACAGAGTCAGAACGGTTTCAGAATGAGACGGAACTTAATGTGGTTAAAAAGTAAAATACCTAGGGGTAAACATAACAGCAAAAAATCTAAGTCTATTTAAGGATAATTATGAAAAATGTTGGACAGAAATTAAGAGAGACTTAGACAGTTGGTCAAAATTGAAACTTTCTTTGTTAGGCCGAATTGCTGCGATTAAGATGAATGTATTGCCAAGAATGTTGTTTTTATTTCAAACACTGCAGGTATTGGACAAAATGGGGTGCTTTCAGAAGTGGCAGAGAGATATTTCGAAGTTTGTCTGGCAGGGCAAAAGCCCAGAATTAAGTTTAAGATACTAACCGATGCAAAACAAAGAGGGGGCTTTGCCCTGCCGGACTTAAAGTTGTACTATGAAGCCGCAGCGTTCTGCTGGCTAAAAGACTGGCTACTTCTTGAAGACACTGATGTGTTAGATTTGGAGGGGTTTAACAATGTTTTTGGATGGCATGCATATTTATGGTATGACAAAGTTAAAGCAAATAAGGCCTTTAAGAACCATATTGTTAGAAAATCACTGTTTAATGTCTGGACAAAATATAAAGACTTGCTGGAAAATAAAACACCAAGGTGGCTTTCACCTTTGGAAGCTAAGGCCCGAAAAAGACCCAATATGGAGGCCAAATGGCCAAAATATTGGGAAATACTAGAAAAGATGGAGACAATTGGAAATTGCAGAGCTTGGAGAAAATGAAAGACAAAGTGCGAGATTGGTTACACTATGCTCAGATTAAAGAAGTTTTTAAAAGTGATAAGAAACTAGGGTTCCAGGTGGAGAAATCGAAATTAGAAACAGAATTGTTAGAACCAAAGACTAAGATACTTTCAAGGATGTATAACTTGCTGTTGGAATGGAATACACAAGATGAAATGGTTAAATCGGCTATGATAAGGTGGGCACAGGACATTGGGTACAATATTATGTTTGAGGACTGGGAAAGGCTGTGGAGTAATGGATTGAAATTTACTGCATGTAATGCTTTGAAAGAAAATGTAATGAAAATGATTTATAGATGGTATATGACCCCAGTCAAACTCGCAAAAATTTACCACCTGTCTGATAACAAGTGCTGGAAATGCAAAGAGTGTGAAGGAACGTTCTTTCACCTCTGGTGGACATGCCCTAAAGTGAAGGCGTTCTGGGAAATGATTTACAATGAATTGAAAAAGGTATTTAAATATACTTTCACTAAGAAACCAGAGGCTTTCCTTTTGGGTATTGTCAGCCAAGGGGTGGCAAAGAAGGACCAGACATTTTTATGTACGCAACAACAGCAGCAAGGATACTACTTGCAAAACATTGGAAAACCCAAGATCTACCCACACTGGAAGAATGGCAGATGCAACTGATAGACTATATGCAACTGGCTGAAATGACTGGCAGAATCCGTGACCTGGGAGAAGAGAGAATCGAGGAGGATTGGAAGAAATTTAAGAACTACCTACAAAAACATTGTGATTTGATTGAATGCTGAATAAGATGCTGGACTAAATAACTGAGCACCACTTAACTTAGAAATTTTTAAGGAAACAAGAAAAATTGTGAAAGCTTAACTCTTTATGAGAACTTTAAGATTATGAAATATCGAAGAGATTTAAGAATTTAAATAAGATGATAAATTGCTGACAAAATGTTATAATGATGAAGGTGGGAGCGGGAGATGTGAGGAAGTCCTAAGAAAATGTGAAAATATGTTAAGACGAATGCTATATTGTTTATTACATTTATTCCTATTGTAAAACCTAATAAATTGCTTTTAAAAAAAAAAAAATATGTAGCATATAGCAGACGGTTAGAACTAAAATAAACAATAAATAATTATAGAGGTCTTTAGTATTATAGCACTTAGGAATGTTTGAATGTTCAGTAATACTAAGTGCGGTGTACCCATAAGTGAAGCTGTTGCCCTTTATGAGCATTCAAAGGGCGGCACTACACACTTTGCATTATTTTTAATAGGTTTGTACAGTAGAATGACCCTTAACAGCTGAGGAAATCCTGATGTGGTACATATTATGCATAGGCTCTTGTGAAGAATGTACAGATTTTGCAATCCACATATTCCGAGCACACACGATGCTGCTTCTTATAGCCATGCTTCTATTTACAGGATTTAAATTGCCTGGAGTTGTGGAAACAGGGAACCATCTGTCAGAACATGCTTTTGTGAATTTATTGTGTTCATGCTGTAACAGAAAGTGACTTAGGAAGCACATATCTCATATAATGCAAGCTACAATTCACTTCCTGTGTATTGAAACTGACACTTAAAAGCTCAATGTGGCTTAAGAATGATGTGTAATTCAAAAGCAGATTATACTTCTTGTATATGATGGATTATATTTACTGGTTATAGCTTCTAAAGCTTTAAATCTGGTCTTCACCCAGAGTGCGAATGGTTTTCCCATCCTGTTCTTTAAGGCCAGCCTGGGAAGATGGAAACCATCAGCTCATGGTTATTGGGATTAAAAGATTTGTGGGTGGTTAAAGATGGGGAAACAGTGCAGAGAGAAATGGTTAACCTCCCCTCCGTAAGCACCTCTGCTTTGATCAAATTTGTAGTCCCCTACAATTGATTTAATGCAAAAAAAAAGAAAAAAAAGATTGCATGCTTTAATGCTTGATTTCTCATGAATGGCCTGTACATGTGGCATATAGTTTGACCATCAAAGCAGACTTTAACTTGGGTGCAACTATAGAATAGCCTTCTCAGAGAAGCCTATCAGGAAGCATTACTACCATGCCAAATCAAGAAATTTTCATACTCCAAGGTTTTTGGGTGTGCAATATTCTTTTATTGAACAGTATGCCAGGTGTTTATTGGTGTGCTAGGATTGAGTTGTCAGATGGTTTTCTTATTTAGAATAGGAAATGTACAGTCTTCAGAACTGGATGCTCAGTGATCAATCCAGACAAAATGAATTATATATCAGTTCTGCTGAAATCAATGGGATTTATGTTAGTCCTTGTTAATGAAGGCCCATTGATTTCAACAGAACTTACTTGTGACTCAAATGATTTGAATTGGG